CTTTCCCTATTTATCCCACTTCTAAGAATCTACCTCAAAGATACACAGCATTTAAAAACTGGAGTAAAATTATTCACTGTGGCATTACTTCTAATGCAGTCATTAAAAAACAGAGACTGCTGTCTGCATCGGAGGATGCTGGGCAGCATCCCGGGCCTCTACCTACTAGACGACAATAGCATTGTCCACCCTCCCCTAATCTGTGACAACCAAAAATGCATCCAGACGTGGCCAAAAGGTCCGTTGGGTGCAGAATTGCCCAGTGAGGGTAATGAGTGGAGTTCTCTGAGGAGGTATAGGGGTGCTGGGTCCCGAAATGGGAGGAAACACCAGCTTCAGGCAGATGAGCAAACAGCCTGAGGCCTGAGGCAAGGAAACAGGGCACCCAGGTGTGAGGAAGATAGAGCAGTTTAGTCAGGCCCCCTCCCCTCAGGTCTCCTTGGGCGTGGTGCAGCACATTCTTTGTAAATAAGTTGCGTGTGGGTGGAGTTAGTGTACATGTGTGCCAATGTCTCTTTCAGTTTGTTGCTATTTTTGTGTGTTCTTCCGATCTGTGAAGCAGGGGTGGGCTGGCTGGCAGAGAGCTCGCTTCTAAACATAGAGCATGTTTACTTTGCTGGCAGCTGCTCAGTAAGTCCAAGTTTCTTTGGACTTTGCCGGCAGCAGTTGAGTTTCTAAGTTTCTCTTTGAACTGCCTAGCTTTTAAATGTGTGTGTGCTGAATAAAGCTTACTATTCCTTCAACCAAGGCTCCAAGGACCTTTTTCTGGTTACCTGGCTCATAGGCCTGCGTGTGAAGGGTTTGTGACCCAGTCCGGACAACGGGCTTGAGAGGTCTGTGAGCTCCAGACCCAGCCCTAGCTCTGCACCAGGAGTAACACCCCGCCCACGGCCCACACCCCTTTCCCCACCTCCAACACAAGCCCCTNTTTCCACCACCACCATGTCATGGACAATACTCTTAGTAGAATCACTGATGACTTTATTCACAATAATATAGATGCAGATTGCAACTACACCAATACATTTCCAACCTGTCAGACCAAATGACACAGTGGGTCACACCCTTTGTTGACAAGACCACATAGAGACATTTTCACACACTGCCGAGTACAAACCCTATGGAAGGGAAATTGTCAATGTCAAGCAAAGCTGCAAAAATACTTACTCTTTCCCTATTTATCCCACTTCTAAGAATCTACCTCAAAGATACACAGCATTTAAAAACTGTAGTAAAATTATTCACTGTGGCATTACTTCTTTTATTATTATTATTTTTTTGTCTTTTTCCGTGTCCAGCAACGGATCGCAACCCTCAGTGNGGGGGCACCAGGCCTGGAGGGCGGGTCTGACTGCGTATGGAGACCAGTTCAGGGGGAGGCATGAAGCCTGGAGTGTGGAGCCAAGCGGGTGGAGACTGGTTCCTGGTGCGGGGCTGTGGGCAGCACCGAGTCTGCTCATGAAAGCCAATTTCTCACCCCCAAATCATCAACTCTTCATACGTTGTGTCTTTCAGAAGCGTTTAATAAAGACTAATTTGGATGCAACAAAGTGTCACAGTTCAGAGAACAAAGAAAGCTGGACGTTAAATGACAGGCAAGTAAAAGTCAGGATTGTACATGGTGAGTCACTTCCCAAGGACCGCATCAGTGGACTCTGAAGTACTGCTTTTTTCTATTTTTCATCGACTTCAGGTCTTCATTTGGCTCCTCATTCTCTCTGCCTCGCTGGCCCGCCTGTCTGCCCTCAAGGCCTCTGCCAGTCTCTCCCTTGCTTTCTTTACTTTCCGCCTCTGCCTCCGGATGTCTGCATAAGTTATCTCTCGGCTGTACAAGGACGGCGGGAGATGAAGATCACTTCTCGGGATCCTCTCTGCCCAATTTGAAGACTGGACGGGGGTGGACTGGAGATGAGAGTGCAAACCGCCACTACCACTTTGGCTCAGAGATTCACCTGGAATTCTCATTGCAATTATTTCTAAAGCATTTGCAAAATTAAATGGACTTAAACGGTCTCCTCCACCGCTGCAGGCCTGGAGTGCCTGCAGTCTATTATAGGCACTGATTTGGTGGGGCTTCTCCAGCCGCTCCTCAAATATACGTCGTCTGACTTTATTTCCAGGATGGGAAGTTATTCTAGTCAACGGCTTCTGGAAGATGCAGCTGGTGAGCCTTACAGGGAGTGCAGAACGTACACCACATTTCCGCTTGGTAACCTGAACTTCTCGTCGTTTTCTCTGTAATGTTAGGGGCATAATATTTCTTTTGATCTTCCCCTTCCAAAACAAAACAAAATGTGAAATTTGAATAAAATGGTGAGTGAAGAATATCAGCTGTGGAGAATTATCTCAGCTCAACTGGATCTTCCAATCAGCCTCTCTCCCTGGAGAAATGTCTCTTAAATTGCATCATGCCTCACA